GGGGGGGGGGCGGCGCTCTGCACATGCTCGCGTGCCCTGCGCGCAGGAGGCGCTCCCCGCGGGCTGCCGCGTGGGGGCTCGGGAGTGGCCCCCGCACACCCTCCTGGGGCGGCGCGGCGCTTGCTTCCGGGGAGCGCGTGCCCCATGGCTGCGCTCGGCTCCTCCGGCGTTGCAAAAGCCGTCGCCAGCCTGGAAGACGCTGCGGGCAGCCGTGAAAGCCACGCATAATGCGAGGAGGAGCGGACCCGGGCGGGGGGTGCCGCACTCTGCACGTGCTTGGGGGCTCCTTGGAGGAGGCAGCTCGCTTCTCCTCCCTTTGCTCCTTTTCTCAGGCTCGAAAGCCGGCAGGGCTCCAACGGGGTCTGTCCCTCGTGACCCTGTCGCTGCCAGCACTGGGCGATGCAAGGTGTTTGCATGTCTTGCGAAAAGTTACTTTACACATGCTCAGAGGCGCCCGAGCACAACTTCCCTCTGATTCATTTCTCTCTTTTTGGCTTGTCTATGCAGGGGGAAGGATTGTGCCATCTCGTTACCTGGAGTATGAGAAAAAAACTTCTGAAAAGGTGATGAACTCTGGACTTGAAAGCTTGGAGTTATAGTCTTATTTTTCTTCTAAAGATGAAGGCTTTTCATATAACCAAATATATTGTTAAAAGGAAGCAGCCCCATAGTTAATATCCTGTAAATTCTGAAAAACATAGAAATAATTGCCTTACTTGATACTGCCTTCTTTTCTCGTCTTGTAGCAAAACATCTGCCCTGAATTACATTTAACTGGGGACAGTCCTAGGCACATTTAGACAGAATAAGCTCTACAGCTCCTAACATTCCCATCTGGAGTATGGAACACTGGGAGAGGTAGAGCTTTCTTTGCTCTAAACGCATGTAGGAATATGCCCCGTTCTCTCCAGTCTTCCCGGCTGGAGTCTGCAAATAGCTGCGAGTCTGTTTTATTTTTTCCTGTGTGTATGCAAAGAATGTTCAAACTACCGCACCATTGCGCTCATTCCACATGCTAGCAAAGTTATGCCCAAAATCCTACAAGCTGGGCTCCAGCAGTATGTGGACCGAGAACTACCAGAAGTACAGGCAGGGTTTTGAAGAGAGAGAGGAACTAGAGGTCAAATTGCCAACATACTCTGGATCATGGAGAAAGCTAGGGAGTTCCAGAAAAACATCTACTTCTGCTTCATTGACTATGCTAAGGCCTTTGATTGTGTGGATCACAACAAATTGTGGCAAGTTCTTAAAGAGATGGAAGTACCAGACCATCTTATTTGTCTCTTGAGAAACCTGTATGTGGGTCAAGAAGCAACAGTGAGAACTGGACACGGAACCACTGACTGGTTCAAAATTGAGAAAGGAGTTCGGCAAGGCTGTATACTGTCGCCCTGCCTATTTAACTTATATGCAGGGCACATCATGAGAAAGGCGGGGCTGGATGAATCATCAGCTGGAATTAAGATTGCTGGGAGAAATACAGTGGTCTCTCGGCTCATGAACGCCTCAGTTCACAACCAAATTGGGTCGCAAATTTTCTGCCCATCTTCCCTGCATGATCGCGATCGCACAATTATCATTTGGACTCTCCCTCCAAACAACAACCTCCCCCCCACCTGAGTTAGTGTTCTCCACTGTACTGTACCCTACTTTGTTACTTTGTTGTTCTTTGTCAATTTGTTAAAAATTTTTGTGATAAAAAAAATGGTTGCAGAAAGGATTAACCTTATTTACATTGAACTTTATGGGGAAATTTGACTTGGGTAATGACCAATTTGGGTCATGACCAGAGACCAGAGGAATGGATTAGGTTTGTGAACCAAGGTACCACTGTATCAACAACCTCAGATATGCAGATGATACCACTCTCATGGCAGAAAGTGAAGAGGAACTGAAGAGCCTCTTGATGAGGGTGAAGGAGGAGAGCGCAAAAGTTGGCCTGAAACTCAACATTAAGAAAACTAAGATCATGGCATCCGGTCCTCTCACTTCCTGGCAAATAGATGGGGAAGAAATGGAGGGAGTGACAGATTTTATTTTCCTGGGCTCCGGGATCACCGCAGACAGGGACTGCAGCCAAGGAATTAAAAGATGCTCCTTGAATGATTGAGGGCAAAGGAAGAAGGGGGCGGCAGAGGATGAGGTGGCTGGAGGGGACACTGGGGCAGTCGGCGTGAGCTTGGGCGGACTCCGGGGGATGGTGGAGGACAGGAGACCCTGGAGGAATGTCGTCCGTGAGGTCGCGATGGGTCGGACATGACTTAGTGACATAGCATAGCATAGCATGCAGCACGTATAAAATTTTAGGCCCTGTAAGTGATTGCAAAGGGTGGCAGGGGGTAGACGGTGACCCTGCTCAGGATTTCTCTTTGGGAACACGCTCGCCTCGTAAGTTCTTCCATGGACTCACTAAGGCTCCTTGTAAGCACACCTGGACCTGCTGCACCACCTTCCTTGAGACCGAAAGCCGTGAACCTGCTGCAGGGAGCAAGACATTTCCACAATACCCGCTTGCAACCTGTGCCTGCGTTTTGCTTCCACAGGGCACCTCCGCTTCCTTCACGGGGCCTCCCAAAGGGCCGGCCAAGGCGACCTCTCCAAAGAGACCATCCGCTTCAAGTCTGAAGCACAAAAGCTCCACAGGCGAGTTTTGACATGGCGGCAAAGGAGCATTCTGCAGAACCAGTTCGCGCTGTCCCCGCGGGCCCGTGCTTGCATCTGGGCTTGCACAAACTGCTGGGTGGCCCGAGGGATCGGACGCTGGCCCCGGCCTTCGCTCCTATCCAGCCTGGCTCTCGCATCCAGGATCTGAAGGCGAAGGGGGTGCTCTCTCAGAAACCCGGGGTTCCTTTGAGCATTGCTTGCTGGTCTGCATTTAAATCAGTCGGAAGCCTGTGACAGGGATTTAGGCGGGTAATTCTGTTCTTTTTTTTCCTCCCTGCCACGTTACAGAATGTGCTTCCAGCACTCTGCAGTCAACCATGCTGGCCACCAATCGCAATTTCCTGCCTGAACTGGAGGTTTCAGTGATTAAAGGTACCTGTGTCTTTGAGGGATGCAGTGCCCCCCCAGTTGCTGAGGCAACGGGATCATCCTGAACAGCAGTAAGAAAAGCCCCGTAGGATCAGACGAAAGGTCCACCCATTTGAGCACCCTGTGCACTTGCTGGCAAGCCCTCTGCTGCCCGGGATCCTCGGGAACCGGTGTCCCAGTTGGCACCGCTGCTCGCAGGGAAGCTGTTCCAGTCCACGGATGCTTTTCGCTGCCCTTCTCTGCGCGCGGGGGAAGCTGTGTTTACAAAACAAGGTGGAGGCTGGGAAATCGGAGCGCCTAAAGGCAGGCAAAACACCAGTGACCACAGATGGTCGGAAATTAGTTATTGGCCCCATCCGCCTGGAGGGCACCGATCCTTTCCCAGAGAGTGGCAGGGCAGCTGCTCGAGCTGCTCCTTGGCAGACCATGGGCCTCCTCTCAAACCGCCACTGCCAGTACAAACCGCCGCATTTCTCGCGTTTTCTTCAGCTATACATGTCCGCCCTTTTGCTCTTGCCCCAGGGAGGGCTACGCCCCTGTTTGAAAGGGGATTTCAGGGGCACGGCTGGCCGGCATGTGGGGAGAGAAGCAGAACGAGCTGAAATTTCCCCTGCTAGCCCATGCAATCCAGCACCCTTCAGATGCTTTGGACTGCAAGTCCCATCATTCTCCGCTGGCATGACATCCGGCAGGTGCCACCTTGGCAAAGGATGCTTTGGGTTATTTTCAGCTTGGTGGGGATGTGTCCACCTTTCTAGCCCTGAGCACGACCCTCGTGGTCGGGGTGCCTCGACCCACTGACCCTGTTGGAGCCTGTCTTTCATGTCCGTCTCTCCTTGCCTCTGGCCTCCCAGACAAGAGGAACCGCCAGACCACGGTTTTGACGCTTGCCAAAGACGCCCCCAGAAGAAACCCAGCCGTGGTAAGCAGCGCGAGTCACTCCGGCAACGAGCCTGTGTGATGCCCGGGGACGCCTCGAATCGGCCACGGCCCGGTCAGGGCCCTGCGCGGTGCCTGCCTGTTTGCTGCAGTGCCGGGGAAGCAGAGTGTCTCCAGATGCTTTGCCTGGCCGCCCCCGGTGGCCCCTTGCCGGGCGGCTGCGAGGCGGGCGGTCCTCCGACGGCCCCTGGCAGCTGCTTCGTTCGCACCAGGAGACGCTGCAGCGGTTGTGGGGGCCAGCGGCACTGCAGGTCGTGGAAGCTGCCTTCCCCGGACATCCGAAGGCGCTCCGCTGCTTCTGTGAGGCGCGACAGAGTGCCCGTGCGCACTGGTCCTGGGGGTCCCGGCAGAGCGTGTCCCTCCTGGAGATTTGGGGGCAGCATGGCAGAATGGGTGGAAGTCTACATCTTGGGGCTTGTTTAGCGCTTCCTGTGTCGCAGCTGCTCGGGGTTGGTCTGTTGAGAAACAGGCCGCCTCTCCTGCCCTGGGCCTGTCGCGAGGAGGAACTCTGCTTTGCGTTTGATCAGGTGCCTCCGGACGCCAATGATCTGATTGAGATGCTGGATTCCCAGACGCTGCTGCTGAACTATGCCTCCATGGAGGTAAAGGCTGCCAGGCATCTTGCCCGGGAGAGGGGACCTTGCTCAGCACCAGGCCAAATAGCTCATTGGGAAAAGTTGCGTGGGGCGGCCATTTGGTCTGGCGATGTTGCGGGTGGGGCTCAGGTGTCGTCCTTGGAAGCCTGTGCACAAGTAAGGCAGCCGAAACTCAGTGGGTCTACTCACACGCAAGCACAGCTGTTCATTCAGCAGCGTTTTCAAGTTACAGCCTCGGTTTGTCTGCTAAAAGGAGCTTGGATCCCTTGCCTTCAAAGCACACCGCTCAGTTCGTCGAGGTATTTTTAAAAGTCATGTTATTTGCAAAGTTGTGCCCAACCTTCGCGACCCCATGGACAACGTTCCTCCAGGTTCTCCTGTCCCCCACCATCGCCCGGAGTCCACCTGAGCTAGTGTTGCCTCCACTAGCTTTGTTGTTGCTCAGACTTCCTAAGGCCCATCTGACTTCACCTTCCAGGATGTCTGGCTCGAGGTCAGAGACCACCCCATTGTGGTTATCAGGGACGTTAAGCTCTTTCTTGTTAGTTCTTCTGTGTAATCTTGCCACCTCTTCTTAATCTCGTCTGCCTCTGTTAGGTCCCTGCCATTTTGGTCCTTTTTCATGCCCATCTTTGCATGAAATGTTCCCTTCGTATCTCCAATTTTCTTGAAGAGATCTCTGGTCCTCCCTTTTCTATTGTTTCCCTCTATTTCCTTCTTATCTCTTCTAGCTATTGGCTTTGCTCTTCCTGGCGCTACTAGTACTAGCCCTCTGCTCTTCCCCAGGAGCACATTGGACACCTTCCAACCTGAGGGGCTCATCTTCCGGCATCATATCTTTTTGCCTTTTGGGGATTTCATGGCAAGGGAACTGGAGTGGGCTGCCATTTCCTTCTCCAGTGGGTCACGTTTTGTCAGAGCTCTCTGCCATGACCCGTCCGTCTTGGGTGCCCCTGCACGGCATAGCTCATCGCTTCATTGCGCTGTGAAGCCCCTTCATACAAGCCCTTCGCCACGGCAAGGCAGTGATCCATGAAGGGGTTTAAAAAGTTAGCGGCTTTCAGATATCCATCTATTCAATTTAGGTGTTGCTCCACTAGCCTGCGGCTCTCTGGCCCTTGCAAACACTCTTTTGATGCTGGAGTGGTGATCAGCAACTGGCAGAAGCGACCTGTGCGCTGGATCCAGGACGTCTTAAGGAAGGCGGACTTTGGAGGCCGGCCGCCTTGCTCTTTATGGCTTTGACTGAGGGGACTTTGTGTTGTGGCAGATGGAGAAGACCCTGGCCCTTCTGGAAGAGCAGGCTGAGAGCAACTTGTTGGTCCTCTCCGAGGAAGTGGAGAAGCTGCAGGAGGAGATACATGGGAACCGGCGCAGGTTGCAGCGCCGGAACGACAGCAAGATCTCTCAGATGCTGGACATACAAGTTGGTCGGCTTTTTCAGTACAGCTTCGTGTACAATATTTGCATGCCGCTTTGTGTCCTCCATGGGGAGCCCCCAGAGCGACTTGCCAGTGGGATCGGTGTAAAACAAGCCCGGGCGTAAACGGGAAGTAGGGGAACAGGGATCTTGCAAGCGACTCCTGAGCAGAGGGGTTGGCTTGGCTGCTGCACAGGCTGGGAGGGAGGGGCCCGGGGGGGCCCGTTTGGTCTCACATGGGGGAATGGTGCCCTCTGGGCTCCTCTGTGCATTTGTAGGTAGGTAGGCACCTTTCCCCCGGGCTGCCTCAAAGAGTGTGGTGTTGCGGTGAGGACAAAACAAGGGTGTGAGGCTAGCCTTGGCCCAGGACTCGGTGGAGGTGCGTGCGAGGTGGAGGAACATCAGCCTTTCAGCCCACTTAGGGCCTGCTTTGCTTCTTGCTGAGAGGCAGAGGTGAGCTCGGGCAACCTGGCAGCCTTGCTCTACTCTGTTTACTTGAGAGTAAACACCTTCTTCCCTGTTTGCCCTCCCGCCCCCTGAGATCGGCGGCAGAGGCCCTCCTCCGGGAGAGACATCAGGAGGCAAAGTACCCGGAGCAGGGCCTTCTCTGCGGTGGTGCCCCAACTGTGGAATGCGCTCCCCAGAGAGGTCCGCCTGGCGCCGTCGTTATTTGCTTTTTGGTGCCAGGCTAAGACCTTTTTATTTCAACAATATTTTAATAACATTTAATATCAGCTTATAGGTTTTAATTTGCAGCCAGGATGGATCTGGATTTTATGTGTATTATGTTTTATTTTATGTAAGCCGTCCCGAGGCTATGCGATGGGATGGCATACAAGTACTCTATATACATACATACATACTCTGTGTGGCGCCAGCAGTCTTGGCCCATCAGTCGCTGTGCTTGTAATGCCACCTTTCTTCCAGATGGCATCCAGCAGAGAACGATGGTAATAGAACAGGGGCATGCCTAGAAACCTCTGATGCTCGCACGCACGCACCCACCCACCCACCTGTGCATGCGCACCTGCAACAGGTTCTATGCACAGAGATGCTGTTGGAAAGCATGCCGAATTTGGCATTCTCTGAGCTGGGGCGGGGGCTGCCGGAGCGTTCTGTGGGGGGCTGGCTGAGGCCTGGCGAGGAAGTCTCATGGATCTTCTTCCCTTCGCCGTGGTGTCCAGCTGGAAGTGCTCGACCCCGTTGCGGAGCTCTGTGCCCACTTTGAGGAAGCGTACAGGCACTTCGCTACCACCCTGGACTTGACGAGACATGAGCTGCCCATGAAAGCGCTCACCGTGGGCGAGACAAACGCCCAGGACCTGGGTAGGGAAATCTCTCACAGTTGCTGTGGGCCGCCACAGGTAAAAGGTGCAGCAGGTTCTGCTGCAGTGGAGGTGGGGGCCGTGATGGGTGTTGGGCCGCGACACCGGCTACTCCCAGCCAAGAGGACGGCCCAGCGCAGCGGCTGAAATCTCGCCACACTCCCCGTGTTCTGCATGATGTGTTTGTGCAAGATTCCTGCCAGCCCCGCCTGAGTTCTGAACTCCCAAGGGATGGGTTGGGGTGGGGGGGAGACCATGCTTGAAGGGGGCACTGGCTGCGGCACCCCTTGCGTGCCCGTGGGCTAACGGCCACCTCTTTCAACAGCCGGCTTGGAGAATGCCCTGGCTGAGAGTCGGAGCCTGCTGAGCGAAGTGCTCCAGCCTCATTCCAGGGAGAATGTCAAGGCCCTGCCTCTGCTGAAGGAGCTGACTGAGGCATCGCAGAAACTGGACGAGGAGCTGTCAAGGTAGTGGGGGTGCAAGCGGGATGCTTCCGAGGGGGGGGCTTTTCCCCTCTTGCGGTGAGCAGAAGGGCGTTCTCGCTGTGCTGAGGCAGCGAGAGGAGCCTGGCCTGCAGGCATGAGGCAGTCCGGACTCTTCCGCAGAGGGAGGGTTTCGATGTTCCTGGGAAGCAGATCCTGGGTGAGCATTGGGAGCGGCTTCCCGGCCGGGAAGGCCGTTTGGTGATGGCAGCACAGGAAGTGCATCTTCCGCCTCGCTGGGTGCTGCAGGCAGAGGCTCCGTGGCCGCTTCCTGCGGGTGCTTGCGTGGATGCAATTCCTCCCTGGTGCTGAGCACCTGCGCACCACGACCACCTCTGAGGCCCTTTTCTAAGGGAGGATCAGAGCTTGGCAACAAAAGGGGGGCCTTCTCGCTGCCTCCCCAGCACAGCCCCCTTATTTGGCAGCAGGGCAGACCTTTCTCTAAGTTGTTGGAGAACACGTCCCACGGATTTTAACCGGTCCCGGGATCCATGCCCCTTATTTTTAAAAGTGTCTTTGTGTCTGCATAGTTGGCCAAGCGTGTTCCAGTGCAGTCCTTTTCTGCTACCTCTTCTCAAAAGCACCCACAGAGCTCGCACTGTTTGAAAAATGCAATGCAACTGCAACCGCAGTATGTTTTACAAACACTAAGAAATAAACATCAGAAGGGGGTGGGCAAGCAAGGCAAAACACGGTGCCAGCAGGACGGCTCCTGGGTGGCGGGCCCGTCCCGCTTCCCACGCAGCCCAGTCAGCTGCTGCCTTCTCCTTAGGAGCTTTGAGCAAGTGGTGGAACTCTCTGCTGAAGTAAGCAAGGAAGCCGCCCTGCACTGTCAGCAAGTGAATGAAGACCGCCTGGGAATGGAGATCATGGAGCCCCTGTACTTCAAGTAGGGCGAGGCAAGCACCCACAGCGCGGGCTGCTCGGGCTGTCGGTCAGTCGACGGAAGTACGGTGCCTTTTTTGCTGCCTGAGCCCCCTCGCCTGTCAGGAAGGGTTGCTGCCATATCTTAGAAGAAGGTGACTGGACTGGGTCTGATGAGGTGTGAACGCCAGGAATCCTTCCTCTTCCTCCTCGTGTCCCTTGAAGTCGAGGTTCTTTCCTATTCAAGCAACATTCACTACGATAATTGCACAGTTTAATCTTTTGCATTATAATTAAAACACTTCTGCACTGCAAGTCTGTTTTTTCTAGTCGCCGTTGGGACCTCCACTTGCCTTATTTCCGCCTTCCCCAAGCGAGTGCCTCTCAGATGTGTGGGGCTGTTACAAGTCCTGGCTTCCCTCGGGGCAAGCCAAGAGGGGCAGTGCAGCCCATCTGAAGAATGCTGGGCTGAGGGAAAGCTGCCACGACGTGCCTTTCAGCGTGTACTCGTGTGTGTGTGTGTGTCATGAGATGTTTCTGTCCCAGTCTCCCTCATAAAAGCTTCCCAGAACCGTTTGCACGGGCCCAACAGGAAATTGAGTCTGTCATCTAAAATCTACCAGGCCAAAGGAAGACGGGGTGAGGATGGAGGAGAACAAGCAAGCAACTTTGGGTACCACTTTATAAAATTTCAAAGTTGAGGGAGAGAAGAAAGAGCTGAGTGGAGCTGCTCTCAGCTGAGTTTATAGTGTAGCCCTGAACCTGCATCTTTTCCCTACTGTAAGCTGATAATCGCTGCTGCAAGGTGAGAATTTATCCAGCATTGCAATAGGGATAGGTCGATGCAGATAGTAATGGTATTTGAGTACAAGGTATGTAGCGGTAAAGTGGAAGGAAGAAGGGAAACAGCAGCGCTAACGGGCCCTAGAAGATGCCATTAAATCAGTACGAACAAGCAGCCTGCATCTGCCAGCGCATGCGGCGATCAGCCAAGGTGAGATCATCTGTGTGAGCAACTCCGAAAACTGACAATGTCCATGCAAACTTCTGCCAGGATAAACATGTTAGTCTTTAGGATGCCATAAGGTTCCCTATTGTCCTCCTGGAGCCCTCTTTGAAGGAAATCAGGAGGGTAGCTACTTGGGGAAGGGCTTTTTTGGTGGTGGTGCCCCGACTGGAAGATTCTCCCAGAGAGGTTTACCTAGCGCCTCAGTTTATTTTTTCAGCATTAGATGAAGACCTTTTTATTTTACTGGGATTTTAACAGTTAATTACTCTTATCTTTGATTTTATAATAATTTAACAAATGTAGAGAGTTGTGTGTTGCTTGTTGTATATGGTTGTTTTGTTTTTGGTAAGCAGTCCAGAGACTTTCAGTATTGGAAGGCATATAAAAACTTTAAATAAATAGTTTTACAGATGGTTGTCTGACTTTAGGGAGAGGAAAATTCCAGAGGAGGTTTAAAGCGATGGGACAGCATGCAAAAATTCTAAATAAATAGTGCATCTACTCAACCTAACAGAAGCCACCACCAAATTTTTATTTGCTCTACTTTGTTGTTGTTAGTTGCAAAGTCATGTTCGACCCATTGTGACCACATGGGCAACCTTCCTCCAAGCCTTCCTGTCCTCCACCATCTACCTGAGCTCACCCCCACCGCCCCAGTGCCTCCATCCAGCCCCCTCATCCTCTGCTACCCCCTTTTTCTTTTGCTGTCAATCATTCCCAGCATCAGGCTCTTCTCCAGGGAGTCCTTCCTTCTCATCAGGTGGCCAAAGCATTTGAGCTTCATCTTCAGGATCTGGCCTTCTGAAGAGCAGTCAGGGTTGAGCTCCTCTAGGACTGACCGGTTTGATCGCCTTGCGGTCCAAGGGACTCGCAGAGTCTCCTCCAGCACCACAATCCAAAGGCCTCAATCCTTTGGCGCTCAGCCTTCCTTATGGTCCAGCTCTCACAGCCATGCATTGCAATTTTGCCTTTTGGCACTGTCCGTGGGGTTTTCATGGCAAGGGTCCTGGAGTGGGCGGCCGTTTCCTTCTCCAGGGGGTCACCTTTGGCCAGAGCTCCCTGCTATGGCCTGTCCGCCTTGAGTGCCCCTGCACGGCATAGCTCATCGCTTCGTTGCGCTGCACAAGCCCCTTCGCCACAGCAAGGCAGTGATCCATGAAGAGGTGCTCTACTTTAAAGTACCTGAAAAAAAAAATTGTGAGCATGTAAGTGAAAACTAAAAACGTACTAGAAAACTGGAAAGACCAAAACCATTCCAGCACCTATGACCAAATTAAAACCAGCAGAAGAATAAAGAATGACAAGCAGTGAAGAATAAATTAAAACAGTGGGAAAGGTTCTAGGTCCCCTGCTGAACGATAATAGATGTACTGTTTTATTGTTTTAATTTTATGTTGTAAGCCGTCCCGAGATTTTGAGGCATGAGGGGATGGTATATAAAAGTTTTAAATAAGAAATAATAAAATGTATGATGGCACAAAGAATAGTAGAAACTGCCATCAAAATCGATGCAGGAGCATGCATCGCCTTTTTATATGGGACAAAAAGCCCTCTTGGGTGGGACTTGCCAGGGACCCTCTGGCATAGAAGCAGAAAGCTGGTCAGAAGGGGCCTCCCAGGCCATCCAGTCTGACCCCGTCTCCAGCCAGCTGTGCTCAAGGAATTTCCAGCATGTGCTTGGCTAACCTTTCCTTGAACACCCTCCGCCACCTCCCTTGGAAGCCCTTT